AAAAAAAAAAAAAAAAAAAAAAAAAAAAAAAAAAAAAAATCAAAGCTCAGCAATCGACTCCGTCGTCGTGGCAGCCGTATTCTTCGCCGTCTCATAAATAACCCCCAGCTTCTGCGTCGCCGTCTCCCCAAAAACTGACGTTATCGACGGAAAGTTGCTCGACAGGAACGTACGGTCGCCAACCAGGTAGTAGTACATGTGGCCGCAGACGGTTCGGATGTGGTTGGGGAGGTAGATGTAGGCGCCGGTGACGATCATGGTGACGGTGGTTAGGATGATGGAGTCTGCGTGCGGCAGGTGTTAGCGATTGTCTTTTTGGGACGTGGAGGGGCGTTTGAACGGGGGTGATAGGGGAAACGCACTGAAAATGAACTTCTCCGTGGGTGTGAGCATGTATACGGCAAAGGTCACTTCATATTGATAGTGCTTCAAGCGAATCCAGCGAACCAGCGCACTTGCGATCCAGAGGAAGAAATCAAGCATGATGAATTCCGCCAGTTTGGGTCTCGTGTGAAGATTTCCGGTATTAATGCGAAGTTCAGTGAGCGAAGAAAAAATGAGCGACACAGTATAGTATGCAGGTAACTGATAAAAAGGATGCAGTCGCTTTATCTTTTCAGTGTGTTGCGGTCAAACTGACGAAGGAAAAAAGGAAAGAAGCCGCGGTAGACAACCTCCGACGGGAATCAGATACGAAAACGAATGTCGCACGAAAAGTCAAAGCAGTTCAGAACGAATGCGAATGAAGGAAATGAAAAAGGATAAAAAAAGGCCCTGAGGACACGGGGAGTTTCAGTCAGACAGAGACGGACAGATTCTCATAGCGGCGACGGTTCGGTGGAGAGTGCGGATCGTCTGGCTGACGCGGAAAAGGAGAGATTCAGATACTGCTAGAGTAGTTTTATTCTAATAGGAGAAATGCTCAGACAGTCCGTTTGATCGACCATGTCAGAAAACAATAGGAAATGGGGCTGTCAAGATCTGACCAGAATACACTTTATCTACGAGTATCCGTGAATAGTAGAGTACTAACAAGCTACTGTAAAACCCCGTTATAAGCAACTCCGATATAAGCAATACTCCATTATAAGCAACTGGCCACGCTGTCCAAATTACAACTCCATATAAAATTGCTTAATACTCCATTACTAGCAAGTTGCTTAAATTCTCCCCTCCTCCAATACAAAATTGCTAATATAGGAGTAACCAAAATAGGCTATTTTGACTTCGTCCCTCCCTTCTGCAATGCCAAAGCAAACCCGTCAACCTATTTTAAACAGCCAAAAGGCTGCCCTCCGAGCCCAGCATCAACTCAAGCCACATCTATCAAATATCGCACTGAAAATCTGGTTTGAAACCACCTATAATCAGTCAATCAACCCATCCTCTGTATCCCGAATCATTTCATCCGATTCCGCCTCCTTTGATGAAGCCACCAACCGCCACCAAGAGAAGCGACGACGTACCGAGAACTGGCCAGAATTAGAGAAGGCTATCTTTGAGTGGACTCAACGTGCAGAGGAGCATATATCAATATCTCAGGAGGTTATACGGGAGAAAGCAAGGCAATATTGGCAAACTATCTATCCAGGAAGGGAGATGCCTTCTTTCAGCAATGGCTGGCTCCGTGGCTTTCAATCACGCTGGAGTATTCAACAGAATATACAGTATGGTGAAGCTGGTAGTCTCTCCCAAGATGCTGGTGCTGAGATGGCTAGAATCTGCCAAGTTTTAAGCACCTATGCACCTCAAGATATCTATAATTGCGATGAGACAAGCCTATATTGGAGGAAGATCCCCAACCGGAGTTTATCAACACGCTCACTTCCTGGATGAAAGAAAGATAAAGCAAGAATTAGCATCCTATTCTGCTGTAATTCAGATGCCTCAGAGCGCATTCCTATCTGGTTTATTGGAACTGCAAGAAGGCCAAAGGCTTTTGTGACTGCTGGAATCAATATTGAAAATCTTGGATGTGTTTGGCGGAGCAATAAAAAGGCCTGGATGACTGGAGAGATCTTTAAAGAATGGCTTATATGGTTTGACAAGAAGATGGCTGGAAGAAAGGTTGTTCTTCTTTTGGACAACTTCTCTGCGCATGAGGCTGCATTCAGAGATATAGGGCCACAGCTGCAGAATACTCTAGTCATCTGGCTTCCTTGCAACTCAACCACACGATATCAACCTCTAGACCAGGGAATTATCCAGACTTGGAAAGCATACTGGCGCCGGCAATGGGTTCTTTTCATGATGGATCAATTTGATAAAGGATATGATCCTTTGTCAACTATGACAATCCTTCAGGCTGTCCGATGGGCTATTTCAGCATGGAATCTGGATTTGGCAGAGGATACCATTCAGAACTGCTTTAAAAAGGCTTTTTCCTCTGAGGATACAAGAGAAATACACTGTCAGGCAGTTATCAATGAGATTACTTGCGGAATTCAGCAACTGCAGGTGTCAAATAACATCCATGATGCCATGGATATACACCAGTTCCTAAATCCAGAAGAAGAGAAGGTTGACGACAGCTTAGCAACTGCAGATGATCTAATTCTAAGCCAGTTTTCATCTGCAAGCATGCCAGAAGAAGAGGAGGAAGAGGAAGAAAACTATGAGTCTCTTCCACAGATATCTATAACAGATGCTTTGGAGAGTCTATATAAACTCCGGCTTTTCGAGGAGCAGCAGGTGGATGGAAATAAGGCCTTAATCCAGCAACTTCTCTTCCATGAGAGGACCCTTTTGAGAAAGAAGGTTAGCAGACAGCAGCAGAGTGATATATGAGACTTCTTTTGTAATTAGATGACGTCTATATATATATTTATGGCAGCAAGCTCGTATAATCCGATATAAGCAATACTCCGTTATAAGCAATTTCCGCGACCTGCCGAAATAGTTGCTTATAACGGGGTTTTACAGTATACGATTCCTCGGCTACCCCTGTATTAACGAAGCTTACTTTGTAGTGTCTTCAAATCTTTCTAGAGAATGCTAGAGAATCCTAGATTTCACTATTGAATCCATTCCTTTCTCACCCGCATACGGAGAACGGAGAGCCCCAACCCGAGCCAAGACCCTGATTGCGTTTCTGCTGGTTCTTATCTCACCGCCTGTCACGGAAACCTCATTTCATCTGACTATGTATAGATCCTGGTTCGAGAGATCAGAGCCATGCTTCGCGGTCTATTCCATAATGGGCCTTTCTACACAGCACGGGCTTTAACGAGGATATCCCAGAGATGGAGTGTCAGCCAGCAACGGGTCTTTTCGCTCTCTGCACCGACACACGATAAACCGCTCCCTCCGCGTCTGAAAATCAGCGATGCCGATCTGATTATTTACTATCTTAAGGGCACAGGCCCTGGGGGGCAGAAAATTGTATTTTCACGCTTTGACAAAAGGAATCGGATAATTGGCTAACGGTACACAGAACAAAACCAACTCCGCCGTGCAATTAATCCACAAACCCACTGGTATCGTCGTTAAATCGCAAGCGACTCGCTCTCGGTCTCAGAATGAGAAGATAGCGAAGCAGTTGCTCTCGGATCGCGTTGAAGACCTGGAAAAAGGGGACCAGAGTCGCACTGCGATCAAGGCGGAGCGGGCGAAGAAGAAAAAGGCGAGTAAATTGAAAAAGACCCGGAGAAAGTATCGTGATCTAGAGAGCAAGGAGGACGAGGATGATGAGGGCGACAAACATTCAGAGGAAGATCATACTTTGCAATCGGAAGATACCATCGCCCAACCATCGCCAGAGACAAAAGAACGATGATGGAGATGCACATACGTGCCGCTGGCGGCACCTTTATCAAGATCACTGTACAGTAGAATATACGACCGACGCTATATAGAATTCAATTATTCAAATATAATGACTTCATGAAACACATGCAATAAATCGTAACGCAGCCGCCCCTCTCTAAACCAACCTCTAACCATTTACCACCGCAACGCATCTATGCAATGTAGCTACCCAGCACAGCCCTGGCCTCATCTCCCAGACGCTCCTGTGCGAATGCAGAAACCCGGCCTCCATGCGTCTTATCGGCCTCCTTCAGGTACTGGCCAACCCACGCCTTAAGATCGGCACCGGTTTCCGGCCATGGGTCCTTGGGTTGGGCGCGCACGGTGTTCAGTGCTGTGAATCCAACTCCGAATGCCATGTCTTCGACATCGTGCTCGGCGATGATATCGTCCTTGCTGACCGGAAGAGGCGGCAGCTCCAAGAGTTTAAGCAGTGCCTCACATGTGAAACCCCATCCCTTCTTGTACTTGTTCGCGAATGCTTCCGAGTTGGCCAGGGTCTTGGCGAGCGAGATCACAGCTGTCTTGCGGTCCAATGGGCGGGCCAGCTTCTGGGTTTCGGGGAGGATGATGCTCAGGTAAATGGACGTGAATAGGCTATGAACTTGTTAGCAAATTCCTACACTTACAGTGCAGTATCAACTTACCCTGCTTGCACGTTCTCCGTGGCCTGGATGAAGAAGTCGGCGCTGTAGCCCTTGTTGTCATGTGCACAGATGAAGTGGTAGAACCGGACAAACCGGAGTGTCAGGTTTTCTGTCTTCGAGCTCTGGAGGCGGGTGAGGATGATCTGCATGATAGAGACAAAGTAGGCCTCCAAGGCAGTCCTAAACAAGATTAGCGGGTTATGTTCCCTCTTCCAAAAGCAAAAACTAAGCAGGAACCTACGGAGGGAAAGATGAAACGACACTCTCCAAAAGGTCGAAGCCATGGCTTTCATTAGTCTTGGTCGAGAGCAGCTTCTGGAAGATACCCAGAATAGGCATAATTTGGTTGTTCTCGAGGATGTATTGCGAGCCACGGGGAATGATGGAAGACAGCAGCCGGACAAGCGCAGGAATGTTACCCTTCGATTCCCACATGACAGGCATGAGGATAGGAGCAATCAGGTTCTGGTAGTAGCTTGGCAATGTCGCAGAAGGGTTGGCTTCGAGGAGAGCCGCGAAAAGCTGGAAAATATACGGCATAAACTCTTGCACGTCACCCTGAAGAACTGCTGCGAATGGTGTGTAGAGAGATTGCTCCAGCTTATCAGGGTTGGCGGGTGCGGCAAACCGAATGAAAGCGCCCATTGCTTCAAAGTGGAAGTAGTAGAATCTCGGGTTGCTGGGGTTGGAGCTGATGATCTGGGTGATGTTGATCAGATGCTGAAGGATGTTGTCAGTGAACGAAACAACGCCATCTTTGATTACGATGAGAACTCTCATGACACATTTCATCAAGAATTCATTCTCTTGCACTTTTTGAGGGACAGGGTCCTTCTGGATCAGCTGGAAGATGTGCTCCAGGAGATCCTTGGCCAACGGTGTGATTCCGGCAGGCGCAATAATAGGCTGGCCCTGGGCATCGGTAAGATAGAGTGCCCGTTCAACTGCGATTGCCGCATACGTGTACACCACATAGTTCGAGGAAGCAAGGTGGTTCACCAGCAGAGGCAACACTTCTTGCCATTGCTCCTTAGTGATGATACTGCGGAAGAGGTAGAGGTACTTGATGGCATCGACCTTGAGGATCGGGTGCGCTCCATCTTGAGAAACAAGGTCCGCAGCAAGATGCTTCTGGAAGAAGTCGGTGATGCTGACGAGAGGGTTGGTGGAGGTAACACCATGACTAGCTGTAGCAGTTCCCTTGGCGGCAATGGCCGAGTAGAGATAGGTAGCCGTATCCTTGGCCTTCCAATTCGAAGCATCCTTTGCGTATTCTGCAAGGTAGTGCTCAGTGTACTGAAGAACAACCTTTGTGACCGACTCCTCAAACTTCTCGGCCAAACGTCTTAGGAAATCAGTAGCAGCCCGTCGTCTGGTCTCGCTGTCCGATCCTTCGAGATCTCTCCGAATGAATTCAATTGGCTCGTCTTCAAAAAGCTCCTCATCCGATTCCCGCAGGCTGACGTTCGGAAGAATGACCTTCTCAATGATCTGGCTGAGAGTGCCCTCCGCTTGGAAAACAGATGCATGCTCCGGCATGCCTGCAACCGAGGTCAAGAACTGCAGGGCTTTGCTGACCAAGATATCGTATTTGGTCTCCTGGCCAATGGTGGTCAAGAAGCTCCAGGAGCTCCCGACGAACTGACCGACCTGGGGTTGGAACACATCCATATACTTTTGCACGTAGAGGGTCAACACCTCAAAGATTCCAGCCCGGGCAAATTCCAACTGGCCCGCCTCTGTGTCATCGTCGGTATGAAGCAGCTGGTTGTCGTATGTGAGGTATTTGAGTAGGAGAGAAGCTATCCCTGAAATATTTTCTTCGAACATCGGAGGAAGGTCGTGGCAGGACAAGTCGTACAGCAACTTGATCATCAAGTTAAATTGCGTGAACCCTACGACCAGGTTCTCTTTATTGGACTTGTTCTCCTCTATATAAGCGTCCAGGCCCTAGATTCTGTCAGCACAAAACGCCCCAGTAAGTCAGACCAGGAAAAATACCTCGAAAAGAGAGAGGAACGGAGTCCCAAATCGCTCGAGAACATGGTTAATTTCAGTATACAGCTCGTTCGACTGGAACAGGGGCCTCCATCTCTTGAAAATCGAGTGCGCAACCTGGAGCACACCAATGTTGGCGGAAGGGTTATTCGGCTGAAGTCTGGAAACAAGGTCCTGCAAAGAAATAGCTGTCAAAAATTGTCCAACACGTCTCCCCAAGTGCGACGACTTACATCCACCAAGTTGTCCCATCTCTCCCAGAAATCACTGTCGGCAATCACACTGACGGCCTCTCCCAGCTGGGTCTGAATGCCAGCAGGGACTGAAACCATCAAACTGATCAGTTCCTGCTTGATGGTAGTGACCTCATCCAGCTGAAGTTTGTAGTTGCCATCTTCATCCGTCCAATTTCGCTTAATGAAGTTCTTGAAGCACAGGGCGCTGGCAAGGCGGGTGTTGTAGGGAAAGGAAGCGGAAGCGGTGATATGAAGGAGCGACAACGAGAAGCCGGGTTTCTTCTCTTCCTGACGGAGAGCAAGTTCGGCTGGACTAGTTAGACACAACCCTCGAGACGGTTCGAATATAATGCCCACCTTGCTTGTTTGACCTGGGATCCAAGCTCGCCTCCAAAAGCTGGGCAACAGCCCCGAGACCGTCCGCCATTGTTTAACAAGGTATAGATTGGAAGGAAAGAAAAAGAGGGAAATTGTGCGAAAAGAGAGATTAAATAGTCAAAAAAATATTATTAGATATGTCCAGTCTCCAGCAAGACAGTCAAATTCTTCCAGTTGGCAAAGTTTTGAGCAAAGCAATGACCCTGTAAAAAAAAGTGAGCTCACTTTCTTCCCGGTCTGGCAGTTTGTTTGGCGGGTTGCTTTGACTCCAGGCGGTGAGTCTACTTTGTATGCGGCGGGGTGATTCTGCCGTCAGGTGATCTACATCCCCGGAAGAACATTTCCTCCGTTTCTCCGCCAAGTCATCATGATGCTGGTCAAGAAAAGTCGCGACCTCGAGGAAACTGGACTCCAGAGAACGACTGCTTCACGGTGCTAGAGAGCTTTCTTACGACCCTAATTGACGCCGATTTTCGCGGGCTTCCTCAATACCGTCAATTCCGGGGTGTCGTTGAGATATCCGATATTCCAGCTGTCCCGCCTGTCATTTTCGAATGATCTCCAGCACTGTGGATGCTGTGAATAGCGCCTTATAACATTACCAATGGTACTCATACCCAGCATTCCTTAGCTTTGTACTCTTATACTGTACTGCTATTTTTATTATACATGTACTCCTATCGCAATTCCGTCCCTGCTAACTATTAGTCCGCGTCGCAGATACTCGACCCGTCGCCCTAAACCCACCTGTATATACCCCACGTCCAGTAGGACGCATGTCTTCTGAGGATGCTCGATCGCCATCTCCTTTCAAATCACCCACAGCGAGTCTCACAGACGTTTTTAAAACACTAGGCGTCGTTCGTCCCAAATCGCTGTCGCCCATTTCCCCCGAGAGCCACAGCGATTCGTTATTGCCCGCAGCGGATGGCCGAAAACTCACCCGTTCTGTCTTCGGATTCGACTCAATGCATCGCGGAAGTGTTGTCTCTAGTTCCTCGGACACTCCGAGTGGTCCCGATTTTGAAACGTCGCTTAGGGCTCTAAGCCAGAATCAGAACCTGGGGCATGCGATTGATGAGGCGGAGCTGGTTGCGAGGGCGCTTCAACGGTTTACATCGGAACAGGCGGCTACATTTTGGGAGGCTGGATCCTATCTTCTTCACCATGAAAGTTCTTCAGAAGCTAGAAAGAGTGGTTCTCGGTTGATCGAAGCCATTGCATCGCGTCAGGACTTGTCTCCGGCAGCGAGGCGCTCCGTCTTCGAGTCTATATCTGTCCCGTCTGAGCCCGATGTCATACCTTCCCGTGTTCGTGCGTTGATATCGTTATCAGATCATGCCCGGAAACTGGATTTCAGCACTTCCTCGATCCTCCCGATGATTTCCTCTTGCATAGTACCGCTCTACGAGTTGATCTCATCCGCACGATTAAAAGCAAGGAAGGCAAAGGTGGCGAAGGTAAACGGACTTGGTTATGACGATGCGGACCTGGATGATTTGCTACAATTTGCCGTGGACTTGATCACACTCCAGCGGAAATCTCCGAGCATTGATGAAGTTGAAGATTTTCTTTCGCAGATCTTTACGATTTGCAAGAAAACCAGTGTCGCTGCTGATATCAAAAATTCC